TGTCTTGTTTGGTGCTTGAACTAATCGTCAGAGGCAATTGATAAAAGAAAAGAAAGAAAAAGAACGTTATCAAGAATTAAAAAGTAAAATTGAAAGTGGCGGAGAATATATTATTATAAATAAAGTTAAATGTATTTTAGAGATTAAAGAACTAACTTCGGAGGAAAAAAGGAATGAATTGCAAGGATTATTAAAAAGAAAGGTGAACGAATGACAAGAGGCACATTCAGAAGAAGAAAAATTAAACAAAGAATTAGAAAGTTTTCGTAATTCATCGTATTTAAATTCAATTTATGATTTGATAAAAAAAGGATGAATAAAATTAATAAATTCTAAGGGAGAAGATCCTATCGACGAGTGGTTTAATGAATTAGAGAGACTTCTTCAAAAGAATGATTATCAATTCCTAAAAGAAGTTTGTGGAGAAATCTCTGATGAGAAAAGAGAAGACTTGTTCTCGGGAATATTTTCTGAATTAAAAGAAGAAAGAAAGAAAATAAAAACTAAAAAGGATTTCAAAAAAAATGATTATTTTACAAAAATAAGAGAAAATGAGATAAAAAAATATGTCCGTGAGATATTTAAAGTTGTTAATGAGCGACTAATTGAAGATGAAAAGAAAGAAGAAGAGGAGATAAAAGGTGATATTAGTAGTATAATGAAAGAAGTAGAAAAAATTGAAGAAGAGTTTGTTTCTAATGCCGAGACATCCCAAAAAAAAATTGAAAAAATTATTGTAAAACTTTCGAAGAGTATTGTTAATAATGCTAAAAAATTTGCAAAGGATTTGACTAATGAAAAGAAAGTGATGAGCGTAATCGCTAGTTTAGTGGGAAAAATCAAGGAGGCGAAAAAGGCTGTCGAGATTGCTAGAGAAGTAATAACTGATTATTTAGACGGGAAAGATTTATCTAAGGAAGAGCAAAAGAAATGAATTTCTGAATTAGAATTAAAGACAAAGGATGCTAAAAACGCTCGAGAAGTTTCTCAATGCCTAAAAAATTTGTTTGCTTTAGTTAATAATAATAATAATAATAATCCTTGACCCATTACTCCGATAGTTATTAGTCTCGGATTTATTACTTTATTAGGACTAATTGTTTACAAGTTTAGAAAGAATAAGTTTAAAAAATAACTATTTTGGGAGTTTAACCACTCCCCCTAATAATTATGGTGCTTACTGAAATTATTAGTGGCGTGGTGAATATCTTTTCACCTCTTTTATTTTCTCATTGTCTTCTTGAATGGTTACCTAACCTCCTTAAATCAGGGACTGGTTTTTATTTTTGTTTTATCAAGAGAAAAAGGACATACAAAAGAATGAGATTGATTTAAGTATATGACTATTTGCCTATTTGTTTCCGTTAAGGCTTGAATTTAATTGCTAACATTTTTTTGTTATCAGTTACTATTTGGTCCTTAATTCTGCTGAAATCCCATAAATGTACTTTAGTGTCTTTTTTATCTTCCTTTTTGAATACCTTTTCCTTGCTTAGAATTCTGAGCACTATTTCAGTGGTAAGGGCGTCTGTGGCTTCTTTTAAGTGCCCGCCAAAAACTTGAAGATTCTTGATAACGTTCTTTTTCTTTCTTTTCTTTTATCAATTGCCTCTGACGATTAGTTCAAGCACCAAACAAGACA